ATTTTTGTGGGCCCACCCAGACCATCAGAGATATCTAAGGTCACTCCAGACTGAGGAGACAGTTCAGTGTAAGGAGCTCTGGAGAGTGCTAGACAATTCTAAGGAAAGTGATCAGAAGATATTTTTTCTCTATAGTATATGGCTATGACTGTAACTTCTACTGACTTTTGGATAAGAATGACAATAATCATAAATTCATGTGGCCAAATGGCTCAGAGTGTGTGACCTCTTTGGCCAGAGAAATGCTCTCACATCCTTCAAAGGGGTAATAGGAACGGTTCCTGGCCCTGAAGGATAGGGGAGCTGCTATACTCAATCAAACCTCACAGCTGAACTGGGAGGTCCTGGGTTTCTTTCCTGTGTGCCCTGGTAACAGTGAGATAGGAACTCTCACAATCTGTGGTAACTGATTGCACAAAACTAACCCTGATGGCATCTCTCCACCCACAGGTCAGGACTCATCAGAGGCCAGCCCCATCAGAAACACACACACAGGCCAGGTCCGAGGCAGCCTTGTCCATGTGAAGGACACCAAAATTGGTGTCCATACCTTCCTGGGAATTCCCTTTGCCAAGCCACCTGTAGGACAACTGCGCTTTGCTCCCCCTGAAGCCCCTGAGCCATGGAGTGGTGTGAGAGATGGAACCTCACATCCAGCCATGTAAGTTCTGGACCCAAAAAATGTCTGGCATGGGGGGGGGCGAAGATTTGCTCTGAGCTCTGAACCATGCTGAAGTCTTTCCTCCATCTCAGCTCTGTAGCAGTTTTCTCCCATTGTGGGGTGTCCCCCATGCATTTTTCTGATACATGTACTAAAATTGAGTAGAACAACCTTGCCAATCTCCTTAGGCAGAGCTTGGCATAGGGAGTTGGATGCAGGGACTATAGACAGGAACAAAGATAAAATTGTTCACAGATTCAAATTGAACCCAGTGTTCTCTGCCACAATGGGAGGGATCTCTAGGCATGTGTTTTGACCTATTAAGCAGAAAGTGCCCCTGAATCTAGTAGAATACACTTCAGATCCTGAGGAGTGTAGCATTATGGATACTTGCTAACCCCACACTCACAGTCACTATGACAACCTAAAGGGCCAAGTGTCACTGACAAAGGAATAAGGATATGTAACTAATTGCCTCTGGAGACAGTGTAGGAAAAAGAAGTTCCCTGAGATTCTATATTCAGGGGATGAAGAATTTTTCACCACCCTTTAGGCAGTGTGTCCACTGAATCCTCTAGTACCTGTGGATACAACACTCCAATATTGCAATCTTAGTTTGTTGTCTTTGATGTAATAAAATACTGGCAAAAGGAACTTAGGGGAGGAAGCTACTATTATAGGCTCCAGATTATAATTCATTGTGTG